AAAAAAAAAAAAAAGAAAAAAAAATAATAAATACTCCCATACTGCTTCTTATTGGGTAAAAGAGCCCGTTCTCTATTCGTTTCCCACTTTTTTTTTCTTTTGCCACTCTATGAAAAATCCATTTTTCTCTCCCAATCCCTCCTCTTCCTCCTCCTTCCCTCTCCATTTAGTACTGCTGTCTCTGCGAGTTCCCCCATGTTTCTTGATATACACACGTGGGAGGTGGTGAGTTTATCATATTTCCACAATTACCACCTTGCATATTAGCCCCTGCAGCTCCATAGTAGTAGTGTTGTTGTTGTTGATAGTGATTGGGTGTGGAGTGTGGTGTCTGCCGGTGACCACCCGATGGGGAGTAGTGCCCATGCGAAGTATATCCACTGTGATTACTGCTGCACCCGTAAATTCCATTCTCCCACGCGTTAAAATTGCCTGGTCCACTTGGACAGGAAGAGGCCCCACCGCCAATAGCCGCTGCGGCCGCTGCAGCCACAGAGGAGGTGGAGCCGCCCAGTCCAGAGGAATGATACCAATTAACACTGTTGCGATGTCCACCGTAGGGGTTGGGGGAACCCTGATTGGGTGAATCCGCACAGAATGGAGAGGAAATAGGCCGTTGTGCCAATACCGACACCAAAGGCGGTGGATGACTGCTGGTGGAATGTGTACTGCCATGAAAAGGCGTGTGTGGAGTATTCGTAATAGACCAACTACCACCAGCACCACAGCCACTGGATGGTCGCATGTGCCCCATATTATTATTCGCCGGCGGAGGAGGAACACCAGAAACACCAACACCTGTTGTCGCTCCAGCTGCGGCTGCCGCTGCGGCCACAAAACCACCATTCCCTTCAGCTGTATAAGGCACTTGTCGTTGATGAGAAGCGGATGAGATAAATATATCTCGTCTTCCTCCACGAGACATCACTGGGGTACAGGCGGATCCACTACCGCCATGTGTAGCTAAGGGCGTGAAAGAGGATGGAAGTGCACTCTGTTGTCCATCTGGTGTACTTGGCGGTGGTTCCAGACCAAGACGACTCAATGTAGGGATTCCTATTCGTGTATATTGCGGGGCCACGTTGTTTGGATCATAGTCATCCCAAAGATGCAGTTGCCTCCGCCATATGTTAAGATAACGGTCAAAGGTGCGTTTACTGCAGTTGTACTCAGGTCGTGGAGTGACGGGATGCATTGGGTTTCGGAATTCACGATCCCCGCGGGAAGGGACGGCGTGTGTGTAATTACTGTATCCAACGGTTTCTTTTCCATATTGCACTTGTCGTTGACGCTGCTGTAGACGCCGGGCTCGTTCAGCGGTGTCACCTGTATTGAGTTCAGAGAGAGGGAGTTCAACACCAGTGTAGTGTAGATGCTTCTCTTCTTCCATGACCATACGGAATGAAATAGGACAATGATATAAATCATTACGCCGTTCAGCAGCGTCAATACTCACAACTCGTCGGTTAGCATCAACGTTTGACGTCAAACGAGTTGATCCAAGACGAGTTATTCCAAGAGCAGCAGGAGCAGCAGCAGCCGCAGCAGCAGTATTATTATTAGTCGTCGTCGTCGTAGAAACAATAGAACTTTGAGAAGGAGGAACAGCCAGAACAGTGTTTAGACTGCTATTCAAAGTCCCACAAGGATTTGTAGATGTCGTCATGGAAGCACCAAAACCACCCGTATTCTTCAAGTGTGAATCATTACTATCAAGAATTGTAATAGGTGAGTGTTGCGATGTCCGATGTACACAGAAGGCAGATAAACCACTGGTGGTACAACTAAGAGAATAAGAAAGGTTCGTCTTGTATGATGGTCGAACCGTAACAATATTATCGGTATCATTACCGGCGTAACCCTCCAGCTCAGAATCAGGGCCGAATGCTGAAAGCGGCACGCCACCATACGGATGATGAGTGGTAGACCCCGGAGAACGTGTTAAGTGGTTTGGCATTGGAGTTCCCGCTGCTGCAGCTGCTGCGGCTGCTGTGTTAGTACTGTTAGTAGTGGCCGCTGCACTTCGAATGGGCGTTGGGGATGTAGACGAGTCATTCTTCATCGAGTTGTGTCCTAGTGGGAACTCCCATGTAGTGGGATTCGTTTGACGGCTCGTGGAGGCCATTCGCCTGTTGTTCTCTGCAGATGCTACTGGCATCATTTTTTTTTTTTTTTTTGTTTCTTTCTTTTTTTTTTTTGTTTCTTTCTTTCTTTTCGTTCTCTTTACTTTAATACTTTCTTTCTTCCTTCTTTCTTTTTTGGTCTACTCTCTGATTCTCTTCGTATCCCTTTTCTTTTTTTTTTTTGATTTTCTTTTTTTTTTTTCACTTCTTGTTCTTCCTTTGTTTGTTTTTCTTTTTTGCTTGAAATTCCTGTTTTCCTTGTTTTGAATGAGTGAGACTCAATTATACAACTCGTTTTGCCTCCTCACTCAGAGTGTACCGGCGGCAGCGAAAATCTAACGGAGATCTCAAAAACAAGAACACCAAGAATTATAGCACTAAAAGAAGAAAAAAAAAAAAAAAAATGGAGGTCTCTTTCCACTTTTCTACTCGGACCTATAAATAAAATAAATAAATAAATATATATATATATTTGACTGTTGACTAAACCGATTTACCCTCCTTCTCTTCCCCTTAGCCTTGTACAGGTACAGGTGTTTATCTGTATATATATATATATATATATATAGACACCTATTGTATGTGAGTAATCTAACGCTCTCTACTTTCTTTTGCTTTCTAGTGGGACTTTCCACAACACAATGGACTACTGTTTTCTTTTTGTTTTTTTTTTGTCCCCCTTCGTTGCTTCTTTTTGCTTTCGTTTTTCTTTATTTTTTTTTCTTTTATTTAGGCTTGACTGATGCCCTTCCAAGTTTATTCTCCTTTTCTCTTTTGAAAGGGTGCTTGTGTACAAATAAGGGAAAATGTATGAGAAAAAAAAAATAAAAGAGAGTGGAAAAGAAAGAAAGAAAGAATTTGATTTTGAAGTGATATAGTCTCCAGAAGAAAATGAGAAAATAAAATAAAAAAAAAGAATAGTTTTTTTTTTTCTTTTTTTCTTCTCTTTTATCGTTACACAGAAAAAGGCAGCAGTAGTTCTTACTACTCCAGATACAAATACATACACATAAAAATGGAACGGGTGTGAGGTAATTAAATGATGAAACCATTTTGCGTGCAGGAGAACGCAAATAAATAATAATAATAATAATAATAATAATAAAGAGAAAAAGAAGAAAAAGAACACATCGCCTTCAAATTGGAGTCATCATTCATTTTGCAGCAAAGAACGGCAGCACTAAAATTGTTCCTTTTTATCTTTTCACCTCACCTTACCATTATATATGTATAATATCATGTTTTTTTTTTTTTTTTTTTTTTTTTTTTCTCTTCCTTCCCTCACGTTATAATACTCCATCTCTTCATTCCTTTGACTCTTTTTTTTTCTTTTTATTATTCTTCGTGACAGTTGTCTATTACTATGGCATCTTAAGGATGCTGAAATAACAAAGAAAAAAAAGAAGAAACAAACAACAGTCACGACAAGACATATATTAAGCTTCTGTTTGTATATATATATATATATATATATATATATATATA